GCTGGGCTCGCCCGGCATCGAACCGGGGGACCCAACCGGGCGGGCCGCCCAAGACCCCTGCCACCGAGCGGCCCGGAATGTAACACAGGCTAATATACAACAGATAATTTTTTTCATTTTTGCAGGTTATTGTCAGATCATCAGCCAGTGCTCCACCTTTCCATTGGTAACTGTTATGTAGTTCCAACCCTTTGATCTGCTCGTTTTGTCTGATATTATCTAGCAAAACTTCAAGGTGTATCACAAAAAGCAAGGGGGCTAGGGGGAACACTTGCCTCAGTGACCGAGACAGGTTAAATTCCTGAGACAGATGGTTATTCACCAGTACCATCGCTGTAGACGTCGAGTACATTACTGACACCCATCTACAGAAATTCGGGCCAAAACCCATATGTAGAAGTGGTGTACCTACAAATGCCCAACTCACTTTATCGTAGGCCTTCTCCATGTCTATTAGGAGAATGGCCACATTTCTGTTCTCCTGGGCTATCACTTCTAGTGCTTGAATGGTTGCGGCTATATTGTCCATTATAGATCTGTGTTTTACAAATGCCCCCTGATCCGGTGCCACCAAATCAGGTAAGTATTTCGCCAGTCTCAACGCCAAGGCTTTTGCTAGGATTTTATAAGAAACATTTAGCAAAGAAATTGGTCTCCAATTTCTAATGTCCAGCTTATCTCCTTTTTTGTAGAGCAATGTTATAATCCCTTTTTGCATCCCTTTGGACAAGGAGCCCCCAGTGAGTACCCCATTATATACTTCCACCAGGGCTGGGCCCAAGGCTTCCCACAAGGCCAAGTAAATTTCCACAGGGAGCCCATCAGACCCTGGGCATTTTCCAGAAGCCATCTGTTCTGCAGCATGCCTGAGTTCCTCCTTAGTGAAAGGGCGGTTCAAATCTAATCTCCCTGAAGTTGCCGTTTCTCAATGGCCCCGCATGCACAAAGGACAAAACAAAAAAAAATGGTGGTGCATCTTTCCATGTCCTAGAGGAGGATTCATTCTCATGTTGGAGTCGTGGAGCAAGGCTTCGCCCGCTACTCACGAAATGTCACGTCCACAATCGGAACGAATCCTCCTCTAGAACATGGAAAGATACAGCACCATTTTTTTTGTGGGGGGGTCTTTTGCACAGCTAGCGGTAGCGCTACTCCCCGGATGTGCAGACCGAGAGACCCAAAAAAATGGCGGGAGCCCTTTGATCCTCCCGCTACTCACCGTATGTGCCGGCCGCCAAATGCGGCTTGCTTATCTGCCATCCGGCGGAGTTCGAACTCAGCACCTGGTCTGTATTTCAACAACAGTTCAGTTTAGGGTTTAGGGGTGTACCAACTGAGGGCGTACTAACACTACCCCACTATCCTAAATGTACCCGACGGCATTTGCGGCCGGACTTATATGCATCTGGTCGCAATTCCATCCAGAATAAGTAAAATATACTGTGAGAGTATGCCCTGAGCTACTCCAGTTGGTAGCTGGTGTGTTCAGGATGGGCTTAGCGTGTTGTTGTTTTTTTTTCCGTTTTTTTTGGGGGGGGGCAGGGGTCACTATACCGCCCGCCCGCTCCCATGACATGGCCCTCCTTTAGAGTTTCATCCCACCCACGCCTCTGGGCTGCGGGTTGTCCCATATGCACCATTTAGTGGACCTAGTTCAACGGTGTGACGGCTGAAACTGTTTTTTTTTATTCATTTAAAATTCAAAAATGCATTAAAAAATCCGCGAAAGATGCAATTCATTCATTTTCTTTTTTTTTCCACAATTGGAGACCACTACCGATAATGGAAACTTGCTGCCATCCGACACGCCTGGTCCGCCTTCACAGCTAAAACTGTGAAATCCGACTCTCCGATCCTACGAATGGACACGGATGAATCTGGCCACGTTTTGAGAAGGATGGACCCGTGCTTTTTCTCACTTCGACAGTGGTGTGCAGAGGCCCTGCATCGTCGGAACGTATGCAAATGGGCCCTTACTTACCTTTTTTTTTTCCGTGGGGGTCGGCCCTTACTTACAATTTTCCGCACCTGTCCACATACACGTTCACATTCATGCACTTTCTGCAATCCTCTTTGCCAGTAGGATCTTGCCCGTAGTCCTCTTCTCCCTTCGAGGACACCAACTGTTCACCTCGCGTTATGCTACGGGCCTCTGCACACATACACTATGCTACGTCCCCTTCGACCCACCCTGCACTTCTACAGCAGTGTGTGTTTGCGTGTGCGTGTGTGTGTGTGTGTGTGTGTGCACGTGTGTGTGTGTGTGTGTGTGTGTGTGTGTGTGTGTGTGTGTGTCTTCGTCGACAAACCATGTGTGTTCGTGTGAGGGCCTCCAAAGAGGAGGACGAGCAAAGAAACTACAACATACAGATCTGCACTTCCGCAAAGGATGTTGGATGTGTGCGGGCCTCGCCACACGGCACACGAAACGAAAAACGAAACGAGTGCGTCTGCCCACAAAAGGTGACACAATCCACTCGTTGCTGAACCTGGCAATTTTTTGACGGAAGATGCACTCGTTTCGTTTTTCGTTTCGTGTGTCGTGCAGCGACGCCCTGAAGCTGCTACGATGCTACGAGCGAGCGAGAGAGAGAGAGAGAGAGAGAGAGAGAGAGAGAGAGAGAGAGAGAGAGAGA